TATATATATATATATATATCACAATAATATACCGTTTCGGTAAGCTAAAGAATTTTCTCTCGTTTATTAATTTAATTTCTCCCTCGTCAAAGCGTGATTGAAAAACTGAGAATTACAAATCTGCGGTCGGACGATTATCGCGCATTTACATTGCATGTTTCAATTAGGTTTCACTGTTTTTCAATCCTTTCGGCGATATGGACACATCCTTCGTAAAAACAAGCGCAAGATGTTCCTCCAGTGTATATTTCCGTTTGCCACCTGCCTCAATTCCTCTCAATGTACGAGTTGCGCCATTGAAATTATAAGGGGGGTAAACTGCCCCGTTCATTTCAGATATGTTGAATTGTGGATGTTTATGAGAATGGGAGAACGGAAGAAGGAGAAGAAATAAATTTTGAAGGAGGTGAGGCATCGCCGATGGACAATTCTCGTTAAATCACCGTAGCACGGTTCATCTTGGAAAGGAAGCGACTACGAGCAGATGTCGCCCCGTGGCGAGAAAGAAAAACAAAAAAAGGAGAGAAAAAAAACCGGTCAGGCCCTGGGCTCTACCAGACATCCCGCACCTAAGGCTTTGGATTTCACTCTCGCTCTCGTTATCGCATCATTGATGTCATTATTTGTCTCGTCTCATTTCTTCTTGTTCACCGGAGAACGAATACCGCTTTAGGGAGTTTGGCCAGATAAAAAAAAAGAGATTGCATTGCATGCCCGCGAGAATCCGCGTTGATTTTCTTCCATCATTTTTGTTTCTTATTTTTGTACTTTTCTTTTTTTTAGTTCTTTGCTGTGCCACATTCCACAATCCCCACAGACAATCCAATCCAATTCAGTTTCGAAAAACGAAAAAATATACATATATGCATATATGTACATGTATAAATATCCAAGAGATATACATATATGTCGTAAATATATATATATATATATATATATAGCCTGCACGTCGAAAAAAGATTGAATGCCAGAAAATCATAATAAACAAGTAAACAAATAAATAAGTAACGCAAACAAAAAAGAAACGTACGAAAAAAGAAACGCACAGAGACTTTGATCGTTTCAATCAACCAGTATAGGTATATACTAGCAATTATTATATAATGAATTATTAAGGGCCTGCTGTTCTAGCACTGGAAAGTGGTACCTCCGGTGGGATCTGCGGATCGCTCTTTCTTCCTCTTCTTCTTCTTGCTGCCATATCCGTAGTTATCCCTGGCACTCCAGCCGGGGTATCGTTGCTGGTGCAGATGGCGCTCCTGCCTGGCCGCCTCATAATACCGCGCCTGCTCCTCCCGGCTTAGCGAGTGCCACTGCGTGTCATACCCCCAAAATTCAGATTCACAGATTCACAGCCTCACAGTACTTATCACCGTGCACCGTCCCCCATTATCTCTCCCTCCCTTTCTCTCTCTCTCTATCTCTCTCTCGCTCGCTTTCTCTCCCCCTCTCTTGCTCGCTCGCTCGCTCGAACTTAGGTATCTACCACTAGCGACAAGTGGACAAGTCTATCATTGACTCGTGCGAGACTCGTCACGTGTCCCGTGAGACCCGTAAAAACCACCCTTCGGCCCTTCCCCTTTTATCACAGCGTTCTTTCTACCAAGGCGAATCTGAGATTTCCTTAGATCCCACCTACAATGCTCTATTTTTTTTTTTTACTGAGATACTAGTAGGTACGGTTACTTAGCTCCGATTAGTTAGCCCGATAGACGACTCGTCCGAGAAAAAACGTTAAAGATACATGCAGTACTCGTCTTCAGAATGATAACTCGTCTAGAATATTTTTAACAAACGATTAGCCAATATCTTCTCTTTCTCCATCGTTCGAACGTTATTGAAACAACGAAAGCTTTTCACAGCCAATATCAAAATGTATCAATTCGGTATAGAGAAAATGTAGACTTGAGCAGAAGCTGAATGTAAATTGGGCTGGGAAAAAAAATTCTGCTTGAAAACGAATTAGATTTCTCTCCTTTTTACCGCCGTCTCTATACCCTCCTCCCCCTCCCTTTCTATCCGCGTACACACATGTATACGTGAAATGTTGAACAATCTTTTTCCGTCGCGAGATAAGAGAAGATATTGGCTTCTGCACATATTAGTTAATATTACATCAGAGTGCAATAAAATAAATTTGACCAACTACCCGAGTGTAACCCAACAGCTTCTCCATCTTGTTAGCGGAGTATACTCTCGCGCAAGATAACTTACGATACATTTGACAAAGGAAAAGAACCGTTAAATTGGACAAGTCGGAATTTGCTACTCTGATGTAGAACAGTTTCTTCAAGTTCGAAAAATGTCTAAACAGAAGGTTTACTCACTCGTCTTCCCAATATTTGGTTGATCGCGGCGCTCTCTTTTAAGGTACACTCTGCCACAACCTTCGCCCTCATCTCCTTCATATACAGCATAAATGCGTTCAAAGGCTTTTTTATATGGGGTTTCTTTTTATCTGTCGAAACAACAACAAGAGGTCACATGAACCATCCACCTCGATAGCGGCTGAGGCTCTCGCAGATCCACGCGTACCGATTTCGCCCGCGAATCCTTACCTTGATTATTTTGTTGTCCCGTGTCCTGAGCTTTTGAATTGTCCGTAGGTAACGACGTGGAGTTTTTCTGCTCTATCGTTGACCTGGAACACACACGTAAGAAAAATGCTCAGTGCGAGTCTCTCGAAGGCGATCAACGCTGATTCGGCAAAGCCGAGATCGATCAACGATTGTGTACCGTTTATTGAAGTAGGACTGTTTAACCTCGGAATTGAGGGGTTCGGATTTCGCGCAGGACAAGGGGTAGGTCGGCGCGGAGTTCTGGGACAGCTGGTCAGTCAGGCTTGGCGGCGTCGGCGTCGGGGTCGGAGTCGGCGTCGTTGCCGCAGTCGCGCCGTCAAAGTAGGACGGCGCGGTCGGCGGTAGCGTCAACGGGTTCCTCAGAAAGCTCTGCGGCAGCGGCCAATTCATCTGCTGCCACATGCGATGCCGCGCTTCCACCATCGCCAGCAGCTGCATAAAGTTCTGCTGTTGTTGCTGCTGGCTGGCGCCGTATGGCGGCGGCGCGATGCCGCGCGGCGCGCTCATGTTCGACATCTGCACGAGACTGCTTACGTAGAGCGCGGTCAAGAGTTTGTGATCCGCGGTTGGTAAACCGCCGGACTCGGCGGACTTGACAGCGTCCTGGAGTATCGCCATGTTATCCTCGATCGCGCTCTCCTCGGCTACGACGGCGTCCTTCTCCTCCTCGTCGATCGACGCCTCCCCAATCTTCACCCCGATCACAGTCCTGGTCGGCCCGCTGTCGTCGGTGTCGTCCTTTTTAATCACCAAGTTCAGCGGCTCCAGGCACTCGGCTGGCTCCATCGCCACATACGGGACTGCCTCGTGCTTACTCGCGGGCCCACCGCCGAGCTGATCCAAATCGATCCATGGAACGATCCTAAACGCGACGCGATCACGCACGCTATACGGTCAAGCCCGCGTTATACTGTTCGAGAGGTCAATTATCACGGAGGAAACCAACTGTCGATGGCACCGGGGTCTTAGAGACCCTCGTCTCCCTCGCCCGTTACTCCGGGCCGTTTGTCGCCCAGGATTTGCCCCAGCCGCGCGCGGCACTCGCGACAATTTCCACTCTCCATTCACATCGCTCGCGCTATAGCGACAGCACGGGGGCTTCGTAAGGTGAGCCGGTGAGGGTTGTAAACAGCACGTACGCGGTGGTGGCGCACACGACGACACTTACGCGCCGTGCTCCTCCGCGGTGGTCCGTCAGACGCTGGCGGCAGCCTCGCTCCGCCGGAAGCCCCCGAAACGTACGTGTTTGCCGCGCGTCGTCCGCACGTACGGCGTCCTGCCTAATGCCACCGTCATCCTCTAGGCCGTGTTCGGTGATCGCGTTCATTTACACGCTCGCGCCCGCCCGCCGCCGCTCTGGCAGCGTCAGTCGTTGACGCGACTTCGTCACCCGGCGATTCGTGCGGTGAAATGTCTCCAGGGGCGGCATCCCACGGTCACCCATTCGTCATATCGCTCTCTCGCTCTCTCCGTCCCTGTCTGCGCCTTCCGTCCCTCTTCTCGCCACCCTCTCTTGCTCTCTCTCTCTCTCTTTACCCTCTCCTCTCCCGCCTCCCGCCGCCACCGCCGCCGCCGCCGCCGCCGCCGCCGCTGCCGCCGCCAAGCAGAGGGTTGGCTCTATGTGCCCACCAAACACCCCGTCTATCTCATCCGACGCCGACGACTATAGCGCGCTCGTTCCGTCGCGTCGTGTCGCGAGAACGCACCCTCCCGTCTCAATTTCTCGGTGACATTTGTACGCCCGCACGAAAACTCCACGCCAGCCCCGATACACGTCGACACCTCGCGCGCGCCTTCCCTCCGTTTCTCTACGGCGTGCCTTCGCGTATCCTCCGCGCCGGATTTCCCTCTCGCGCACGGTACTCCGTATCTCTCTCCCACTCTCCGCTGCGCTCGTCTCAAACGCGCTCGTTTCTGGCGTCAGCGGAATCACCACCGACCGGTGTTACGACGATTGATTATCGGCGAGTCTGGGGGTGGCCGGGGGAATTGCGCGAGGAGGGAAGGCGGGTAGTGGTGGTGCGGGGTTGCGCGCGAGGGTGGCATCGCGGGATGGGTGGCATCATCGCGATTCATGGCTCTCGCGGCGATAGAGACAACCCTACCATCAGCCGGTTCTACAATTCTGGGAGCGCGTGGGGGGTGGGAGAGGGGGTGGGATATGCAGTGAATATCGCATTCTCCGTGGCCTTCCTCTTCTACGTGCCGCTGCGAATCTTCCCTTTCTGGCGAGTCGTCGCGGCGCTGCCGTCGACCACTCGTCAACCTGGATATCCTGCTCCTGCCGCCACTCGCCGGCGGTACGGCGACCTGGCAGGACGGATCAGTCGCGACCACTTGCTGTGCTCGGAGCAATTTCCTCCCCCCCTCCCCTCGATGTATCGCTGTTCTTCGCCAAGAAACACTGTACGTCCGATTCCCATGTATTTGCTCTGCGGTCGATGCTGACTTTTCGGGCTTGGGACTCTGGCACTCACGCCGACTGATCGTCTTCGTTCTCAAGTAAAAATATGAATTGCCTCCGCTTCATCTGTCTCTGCCAAAACGCAGCATCCTCACGGTTTATTCGCCAAGAGACGCTACCACTTTCATGGATGCGTCAGCTGGTCAGCTTCGTGACGCTTCGCACTTGCGCGTAATGTATTATACATGTAGAGAGGGAGAGAGCAAAGCGCGTACGCCGTACCGCGCGTTTTTGTAAGCGCGCGGGTGCGGGGCGGGCGATCGCCCGAGTACTAATGTAAATTAGAAATCTGTTTAAGAGGGTAATGATCAATACATAACTGGCGGCAGCGGCGGCGGTGGCGGCGGCGGCGTCGGAATAACAGGCGCAGACGCTGTGCGGAGGGAATCATTCGATAAGTGTTGTACGTGCTCTCTCGGCTACCAAAGGAGTGAAGGGTGCAACCCCGACGAGGGGTTCGGCCGAACATTCCGGGGTAGTCGAGACGTGCTACCCCCTACGATCCTCGCGCCGCAACTACCCCATCTCACCCTCGGCACGACGCTTCCTTATCAGCAGACGCGCTGCGTTGGTACGCGACCCGTCTTGCAGCTGTCAGCGCTATTCGGGTATTATTATCGATCGCCAAGTTCTACCCGAGCACGTGGCGCTTACGTAACCCATGGGGTACGGTTGAATCGGCATACAATCGTGGGGCGGTCAGGAAGATTCTCGCAGGATTCTACAGAACGTCATCCGATGGATAATGTCTGCAGAATGGCCAGGGATACCCTCGTAGAGTGCCATTCGATAATGTCGAGTTAGCGATAAAGTTATCCACTGATTCGCTCCATAGAGTTCTTCTCGCGAGTGAACTGTAGATCAGTAACGTAGATCGCGACGTAATCTGGCAGCTATCGCAACGAAGCTTCCGTGGTCTTGTTTCCACAATGTAAGACTATATTCTCAATCGTTCCGTTATACTTTGCACAAAGGTGTTTTCTTAATGAAGAAATTGCGAGTCTACAGATTGTTTTCACGTCTTCTAATCCAATGAAATGTTCAGGCATGTGTGGTCACTTGAGAATATCGTTTAACGTCGGCCAAGACTACAATTCTTTCGGATAATATTGTTCGACTAGAACTGGCAGAAATTTATTGCGAAAAATAGTACCTCAGCCTGGCTTTCCAGCTGGACCTCCCTTACTCTAGCCGAGGGTCTTACCAATTTGACCACTGAGCTATGTAATGCACGAAAGTTCCTTCTTTCGTACAAAATTTTTCTATTTGTTTCAACTCGTGGACGACGAGCTGTTTTGTTCACGTGTGAGTAAGAAACGACCCACAACGTATTATAAATTACTTTCACCCCCTAGCAAATTATTTAATCCACGATGGTACTGCAAGTGCTGGCAGGTAAAAGCGTTCCAAGCGGCAAGTCGGTGAGTTCATTAATTGTCTTTGAAAGTTTATGCCGCCGCATCGTTTCAAAGATTATGGCGTCTCTTTTTGCCACCCCCCCCCCCCCTCTTTCTTTTCTTCGTATATCAAATGTATAATAGTCATCGTCATGATAATTGATCATTAGATCATTAACGTAAACGTGGATCGCTCACAAGTCATTGCTTTAAACGTTTGTTGAGTGATGCCAAAGTTGGAGAAATTTGTTCGCAATGTATCTCGCAAGTTTATCGCGCGGAGCGGAAGGACAAGGGATATCGGATATTGGACTGGGAATAATCGATGTCAGCTTTGCTGCTGGCTGTTCAGATGTCGCCAGCGATACGAAGTTGAGAGTAATAACGAACCTGTGATTGTGATCCAGGGTGGAGTGATCCGCCTTCGGCGCTGACACTAACGCGTGCGATGCTAGAGCGTGTGCGTGTGGACTCAGGCCAGGGTGCGGAGGCATAAGGCCCGTCGGTGAAAACCGATAGAGATCGCTGAAAAGTTGAAGCACACATACACACAGTTTAATGGGGAAAATTGCGTCTAAAAGGTGGCGAAACTTGTTGAATTACAGACACGCGAGAAAGCGATTTTCATCGATGGTACCAAATACTTGTACTAACCTTGGTAAACTAGAACTCGTGATGGGTAAACTTGTGGGATATGGACTTCGGAAGCCGGCATTCGCCGGCGAGATGGGGTACATGCTCGGTGTGTGCCTGCAAACATTCATTCATAAGTTTTTATCGTGCTGTAAAGGGACGAGAGTCCTCGATATTTGGATGAAAAATTTTCTAAGAAATTGATTACTTCGCTCGTCTCATAGTCATCAACATCGGCTGTTTCGTCCTATCCGTATGGTATGAACTTTTTGACAGGGGTGTATACAAGAATTGCTACTCGTAAAAATGTACGTAAAGTAAATGTTATAAGTGCGGTAGCATCACGTGTAAAAAATGTAAAAAATAAAAATCTTTAAACGTTCAGCTTTCAGCAATTAAAAAAGAGAAAGCAATAAAATAAAAATAATTGCAACTATCGTTAGATTTAAGTTGCTTTATTAATCAAACAACTGATCAATCATTGATATTAATTTCGATTTTTCTTAAAAACAAAAGTTTCATCATCTGTAAGTCTAGTACGGTATCGCAACTAATTTGTCTAGCAAAATGCAATAATAATGATAATAGTTGCCTAGTGTCAATTAGCAATACAGTTAATTAATTGTGATTAACAGTGCTTCTCGTAAGAGTAATTAGTTTGTGTCTCTTCGCGAATACATTGTCCACGTTTCCATTGCAAGAATTGCAACGCAGAGACTAGAATTCCATCCACTTGGCGTAATAAAAACGCCGCCGACCTTCTCATTATTGCAAGTGGCCTTTTCTCGCGCTCCGCTCTTTCCTTTTCGAGAACGGACGCCATCCCTTGAAAAATGCGACAGCTAAATTTTGTACGCGCGATGTCGTCCAACAGTTCCGTGTGGTGTAAGGCTCGTCTTGAGCGAGCAAGGATGTTGTGGCTCCTTTTCTAATTGAGAAGAAGGAACCTAATCATCCGTGGAAAATCGCAATTTGGGACGACTCGGGCGTAAAGCAAATAACGAGCAGGGGAAACGGCGGCTTCGAGCGAAAACCTGATCGTAAGGACCTGTCTCCTTGTGAAAAGAGGGTGACGTCTATGAGGACTATAAGGTTGAGGCAAGGTTCAGTATCCGATGTAATAGACCGGAACTGAGAGGACGACTGACCAAAGCGGCCCACACCTATCCAATGTCCAGATTTGTTCAGAAAACTCAACCGGAATGTCAATAGGCATCTGAGCATCGCGATTATTTGTGCGTTTTGCTTTAAAGACACATCCGTAGGAATAAGAAGGCTAAGAGTTGCGACAGGGTGTTGGTGTCTAAATAATTTTATTATAAATTTTAGACACGCGCCCCGCTCTTAGGGCCACTTTAACCAACTTCGATTAACTTTAATCTATAGATTTCTTTTCAGGCTTCTAAACTTAGTTTCAATGATACCACGCCGTTCTCTGATTTAGTCCGAACAGTGAGACACTTTCAATCTGTACGCATAAGTCTTATAATTTGTGTATTACACATGTGTCTTCATAAATTGACAGTTCTAGATGCACAAAGTGCAAAAGGTGCAGAATCAGTCCAGCATCCCCTTAAAGATTTTCGATAATTTCGCGATTGCGAGAAACATCAGAAACCAGTGATAAAAAAAATCACCTTTAAGAGCCGTGAGACTTGAGAATCGTTGCTAACGAGAGAGCATATTTTGAACCAGAGAAATCCTGATGACGTTTATCATGCAAATCCGCACACTTTACATTAAAAGAGAATTTACTCTGAAGCGAAAAATTTATCGAGAGGAGGCCCGTCGTGTAACGTTTCCCGTGTATTTTGCTGATACTTTTATGAATATTTAACAGCCTTTGTGCACAATTCGCGATATGCGATCTGCGTTGAGTGTCGGGCGATTTAAAATCGCCAAGAATCACTTCGGCGCGCGATCGAAATCCGATGCTCTCCATTACTTTTCATTTGCGTTACTGTGAAACGCAAATCGATTATTTAACGCGTAATTAATATAAAATATAATATAACGTGTGTATCGCACACACACTTGCGCACGCGCGCGCGGGCACGCACGCAGAAGTGTAAAACGATTCTTGTTCTATGGATGTCGCGCACGCGTTTACATCGCGAAATTGAATATTGCTCTCATCACACACATTCAGTTGAATATATGTTTGATTAAAATTGAAATAATATTACGTTATATTGTAACCAATCGCAGAATAACATGGAATATAATTGTATTACATTAAATTGCTTTTATCATTTCATTATTTTCATGTTGTTTTTCATACCAAGAGAATAAAGAAAAAGTAAAATTCTCTCCTTAAACGACAAATATGTTTTCACTTACCAGGAAGCAACTTGCGTCATTTCCGGACTAAGCATGGGGTATGCGTACTGGCCCGTCGAAAAGGGGTACATTGGTGCTCTCGTGAGACCTGGAACAAAAATATCTAATATCATTGTTTTATTCAATATCAAATTTTCTAAAGAATCTGCGATTTAAAGGATATCTGGTGGTTTCAGTACACCCTGTATATTCAGATTTTTCTTTTAGCGTGTGGCGTAGAATCGTTAAGTACATTATTGGATGCCCTTTTCGGAAAATGTTTCCGTCATCTCTTTTCATTTCCATTCTTACGCTTGTATTTCGTCGACAACGGAGGCCGAACCTCCCGCAAATTAATGCCGACGTTAGAACAAGGAATAAATCCGCCGTCCATCTCGTCTCCGCGATTAGCGGCGTCATAATGCGTTTAATCTATCATTAGTCGGCAGCGTGGCCAATTTTATAGTGATGACGTTTAATTTAATCGCTGTAAGATCGCGAAAAGACCGACTAAGACCGGTAACGAGCGGATGCACGGAGGTTTCTCTATTCGCGCGTTATAATACAAGCGACATTTCATTGTAGGACGCATTTTTATAATGGTCTTTAATTAAGGAAAGACTATTTACACTGTATATATGAAATGAAAGAGTTGCATTTAGCTCTTATTATCAGAAGTAAGATCAAATGCGAATAATATGCGTGCCGTTATTTTGCAGAGAATAGCAGTTTCTTTTTTCATTACGAGTATTACAAGTTATTAATATTATCATTATTGTTAGAGATATTGCAAATTATTGCAGTTTTCGTTATATCGCAATATGCACGCACCGATGAATACTTAAATATTATCACGACGAGATCAAAGAAGCGCGCGATTAAACGAGAAAAGAAAGCTATGCTTTTAATATATCACATAGGTTTGCAGTACAAACACTCGAAGCGATGGAGGTCGAGTTTTCTCTCTTTCATGGCGAGAGAACGAACATTGATCAGCGTGCGCGGCCGCACCCTCTGTAACTAGCACCCGACACGAAGTGAAATGCACACGCCAGCAGGATCGTCCAGAGAACAGTCGTTGATGAAATTTAACGCCGCGTAACTCATCCTGGATGGGCGGCGGATGAACGGTATCGATATCAATCTGATTTTTACATAATTGCGATCGATCAAGTCTGCGTTACATTGATAATGAGATTGTACGCGGCACATTCCGTTGGAAATTTACTGTTCTCTAAAAACACATTATTCGATTGTTTTCCAATGCAAAAGACGAAGAGATATTGCTAAAGAATTTTATCTTCTGTTAGACAAAAATTAAGCGATAATTTGCCACTTTAATTACCAATTAACCTGTTTTCCCGCTGAATGTGCAAGAAAACTTGCAATTTTAGTTGATGTACGCGCAATCACTTCGCCGAGGAAAGTTTGGAAAGAAGCAGGTTTAGAATCACTTCGGATAACAATGTAAAATTATACATGTACATGGCTATCGCGGGTTGAATAACGGATAAGGTATATCGCTTTTACATCGGTATCTAATGTAACTAGTACGTGCCGCGGAACCGATCGCGGCTCCAAGAGAGCCCGGGAACTGTCGGGCGCGGATATAAGTGGGGTGCCTTTGGCGAGGCGAAGTGTAATTGGCTTCATAAGGGTCGACGAGAAGCGCCCGGAATATCGGCAAGCCTGAAACCGCTTGACGAGGCCAATCTCTCTCTCTCTCTTTCTCTCTCTTGCTCGCTCGCTCACTTGCTGCTATTCTCTTTTTCTCTTTCTATGTCATTCGACATAGTATATGCGAACGGATTGCATAGATTCTCCAGCTTGTTTCCATCCCGTTCCTTTTTGCGTTTTGTGGGCGAACATGTCCCGAAGGCATATTCCCCGTGACAATCTGGCTCTTCTCTCGTCCCCTCGCGCGTGCTGAAATCGGTCAACGCGTGGTTTTCCCCGGATAGGGCCACTCTCAATCCCCAACTCTATAATGACCGATCGACCGTAAAGAGATCGGACTTCCGTCTCCGGGATACCGTTTGCGTTCGGATAACGAAGCGCGCCTACGTTACGCAAAAACAATTGCGCATCGTAAGTTATATTGTACTTTTGGCCGCTTGTCGCTCTGTGCACGTGACTTGGTCCTCGAAGTGCAGAGTTCGGTCAAGTGCACATTTCCTTTTATATTAATCAGATTGGTCGAATAATGTTCCAGTTTTTATCCGCTTCCATTGAGAAAATTAGTTTTACATTTTGAGATATCAGCATGTTATTTCTATTTTGCAATATTATTTGTAATACCGGCAGAAAAAGATAAAATTCGACGACGTATGTAAAACTCGCGGATGCTGCAGCTTTTTTTGTACAATGGAGCTACTTTCGATCTTCGCATAACGACGATTAGCCACTCGACTGTAACGAGACCGGCTCCCACTCGGCCCCGGGCTTTTAATCTCATTTGAATAACGAAGCACACTCGAGCTCGTGAAAACAATGGCTGCCGAAACGAAATTTAATCCCACGTAAAAGTAATAATCCGATATTTTATCTTGCGCGCGAATTTGTGTGCAACACGATATATCCGCCTACGTCACTTTAGGTAGAAATCATGAAACAAATTACACATTATGTTTATATGCGAAAATTCTAGTATTTTAATACATCATTGATAAATTACGGTTTATTATTTACTTTCTGATTTCAATCATGTCATCTCTTATGAAAGATTCAAAGTTTAATATATGATGAGACGGGGGAGAAATTAAGACGAAATAAAAAACCTAAAATTTCTCATATTCAATCACTTTTCTAGTAAGCGGATGGGAACAAGGATTAAAATTGAGTACGAGTTAATCTCAGTTAATGATAAAAAGGGACTGAAGATGAAGCCGTTCAACGTTAGCTTAATATTGTAGAAACGTGTACTCGATAGAATAGGAAGG